TATATATATATATCTATGTATATATATATCTATGTATATATATATATGTATATATATATATGTATCTATGTATATATTTGTGTGTGTGTGTGTGTGTAATGTGAATTTTAGCTTATATTACTGCCTTGAAATACTTACAGACTGAATAACTCATTCATCCCTGAAGTGCTCAGGTTTCTCAATGAACAGTGATGATCTCTGTTCGGTATGTTAATGTCTTAATTTCTTGTCTATAGGGATGTTTGGTGTGCCTACTGACTGTGAAACTAATTGCCCCTCTGGGATAATAAAGATTCTTGAACTTGAACAGAAAAAGAAAAATCAGTCAAGTCGAAGTCTGTTTTGTCAGTTTTTCTTTAGAAGCACGTTTTTGAAGTTCTTCACTTTGAGCTGTCTCTGAGTTAAAAACTGGAGATCATTGATTAACTCAATACTTTGAGCATGAGATGCTCGTAAAGATCACATTTCACCAGGAAATGTTCTTTATTCAGTTTTTTTTTTCTTCTTTCCTGGTGCGTTCAGAACATGAACCTCAGGTCACGTGTGTGTTTGTGTGTAAACTGTGTGAAGATAAAAGCCACACACTCTTACACTCCTGACGCAGCCAACCTGAGAGACGCACAGAGCAGGTATGTCTCAAATACTTCATAACAAAGTCCGTGTGGGACAAACAGTCTGTTTAGTTTAGCCTGATAAAACCTTCATGAGTTTTTCAATCAAATTTAATATAATGTGTCAAAAACAAAACATTTTAATTATTTTTTACAAGCTGCTCATTTCTCTATACGACTTCAGGTTCACATTTCTTAGAAGTTATCTTATTTATCATTAATATTTCCTACTACTACCAAACTAAATTTCTTTTTAAAAGACAAAATGAAGAACCAGCAGACTTTTGTTGAAAATGGCTAATTGAACTGAGAACATCCAAACAAACGTGATTTTCTTTCTGTGTGTCATGAGAGCGTTCTCCTCCTTGAACAAAGTAACGTTCACCAGCTGGAGGCAGAGCTGCCACAAGAAGAAAAGACGAGTCAATAACTATAAACCTGCATGTTTTAGTCATCTTTATGGTTGCGCTTGTTTTACTGGAACCAGACAGCATGTTCTGGTTGTGACGAGGTGGAGTCAAGATAAACCAGACGAGAAACGGAGACGATTCTTTCACTGCAGTCCACATTCACGTTCTCTGTTGAAATGAGCTTTCAACCTTCTCATCGTTACCACCGTCACCTCCAGAACATCTGCAACACGTTGTGATCACATTAAGTTGCACAAAACTGCTGTTTCTAAAAATAAAGTATTGACTGAAACCATGTGATGCTTTAACCGAAGCTCTGCCTTACATAAGCTCCAAATGACTGCCATATTTAAAGAAGATTAGAACGTGTGTTTCGTCCTGTCCACTGCTGGGTTAATGTGTAACCAAAGCAGCACCGTTTCACCTGGGTTTGGGCTCAGCTGGGTTTCAGTCAGCCTCATCGATGTTCCTACGAGAAGTGAAAAGCACAGTTAAACAGGAACGATAAGAACGTGTGACTACTTGAAATGTGTTTGAATAAAACTAACATGCTTTGTTTGTGTTGTTTTCAGCAGAGTCAGAGGAATCATAAAGAGCGAAGATGTGTTGCTCCGGTCTTCTCAAAATTATGATGTTTGTCTTCAATGGAGGTATCTTTGTAAGTTGGAGCAAAACAAAAACCTCCTACCTCTTTGTTTCTGCACTTTCATTTTAGACAAAGATAGTTTGTAGAAGTGACGGGAGGGCAACAACAACTTTTAAAAAATAACGTTACTTCACTAATCACACGGTGTGATTTGTTTTGGTCCGGTCTGTTCTCTACTCTGTTGGCCATTTTAGTTAGCTCCTGCTGCTATTTGTATCTGTATTTCTATTTTATGTTTTCCTGTCTGCTGTGCATGTTTGGTTCTTTTGTACAGCACTTTGGTTGGCCTTGTTGCTGTTTTAAGTGCTATATAAATAAATTGGTATGGTATGGTATGGTAATCAACCTGATAAGAGCAGCTAACCATTTGTGACAGGTGGAATGAACCTGTCAGGAGTGGCTTCTGTCCCACTGGAGGTGAGCCTGAGTGACGTTAATATGGTGCAAGAGATGGATCAACAGACCTCTTCTTCAGTAATGAGTGTGTTGCTCTTGTTTGTTGTGGTGAAGAAAGAGCAGAACACTGCGTTGTTGAAAGATGAGTTTTGCTGGTCTTCTGAGATGTTGTCATTAGAAGTCAGTAGAATCGTCATTTGTTCACAGCTTGGTGTCAGAGCATGCTGAGACAACCCTCCAGTTAAGATGATGATCTTATGTCTTACTGCTACGTTTTGCTCAAAGGACTCTCGACAGATTCTACAGCTTGGACCTCATCTCTGGGATTTACTGCGTGACATATTTTGTAATAATTTATTAAAATAACCAAGCTGGGTCTTCCTGCTTTATCTTATGGCCATGACGCTCTTAGTTACTGCTCCATCTATGTTCCAACCCACACCTGCTGTCATGACCAAAAAAATGAGATCCCAAACTCAAGTGGCTGAAGTGAGGAGCTCCAGGATCCGGGGGGAGTTCAGAGTAGAGCCACTGCTCCTCTCAGCTCAGGTGCTTCAAGATGCCTCCTGGGCACCTATTTCTGGAGATTCTCCAGGCCTCACTGGAATAATTATTTATATGTGCTGCGGTCTGGTAACAGTAGGACACCCCCCAAGAGGAGCTGAAGAGTTTGGTTGTCTCTCCTGAAACTGTTGGCTTTGTGATGCAACAGCAGAAATGTAATGAAAAGATGTTCTTTACATACTTTAGATCAAAGGAGTGTGGGAGAAGACTCGAAACTGTTGGACTTTAGATATTTAGCTAACATTTATCAACAAAGTTCCTCCAGTTCATTTGAAAGTTGCTCCAATTCATCTGAAAGTTGCTCCTGTTCATTTGAATGCTGCTCAAGTTCATCTGAAAATTGCTCCAGTTCATCTGATTGTTGCTCTAGTTCATTTGAACTTTGCTCCAGTTCATTTGAAAATTGCTCCAGTTCATCTGAAAATTGCTCCAGTTCATCTGATCGTTGCTTCAGTTAATCTAAAAGTTGATCCAGTTTATTTTATTGTTGCGCCAGTTCATTTGAATGTTGCTCCAGTTCAGTTGAAAGTTGCTCCATTTCTCCTAAAAGTTGCTCCAGTTCATCTGAATGTTACTCCATTTCACGTGAAAGTTGTTCCAGTTCATTTTAAAGTTCCTCCAGTTCTTAGGGATGTTATTGCAGTTCATTTGAAAGTTGCTCCAATTAATTTGAAAGTTGCTGTCGTTCATCTGAATGTTGCTCCAGTTCATTTGAATATTGAACCAGTTCATCTAAAAGTTACTCCAATTCATTTGGCTGTTGTTTCAGTTCATCTGACAGGTGCACCAAATCATAGGAAATTTGCTCCAGTTCATCTGAAAGTTGCTTCAGTCCATTTGAAAGTTGCTCCAGTTCATCTGAATTTTGCTCTAGTTCATCTGAATGTTGCCCCAGTTCATCTGAATGTTGCTCCAGTTCCTCTTAAAGCTTTTCCAGTTCAACTGAATGTTATTACAGGTGATTTGAAAGTTACTCAAATTCATTTGAAAGTTGCCCATTTCATTTGGCTTTTGTTCCAGTTCATTTGAATTTTTTTCCAATTCATCTGAAAGCTGTCCCTCTTCATATGAAAGTCACTCCAGTTCATCTGAAAAATTTCTAGTTCATCTGAATGTTGTTCTACTTCATCTTAATGTTGTTCCAGTTCATCGGAAATTTGCTCCAGTTAGTTGAAAGTTACTCCAATTCATCTGAATGTTTCTCCACTTCATCTGAAAGTTTTTCCAGTTCATAGGAAAGTTGCTCCAATTCATTTGAAAGTTGTTCCAGTTCATCTGAATTTTGCTCTATTTCATCTGAATGTTGCTCCAGTTCATCTGAATGTTGCTCCAGTTCCTCTTAAAGTTTTTCCAGTTCATCTGAAAGTTATTACATGTGATTTGAAAGTTACTCCAATTCATGTGGAAGTTTCTCCAGTTCATTTGGCTTTTGTTCCAGTTCATCTGAAAGTTGCTCCAGTTCATCTGAAAGTTGTTCCAGTTCATTTGGATGTTGTTCCAGTTCATTTGAAAGTTGCTCCAGTTCATCTGAAAGTTGTTCCAGTTCATCTGAATGTTGTTCCAGTTCATCTGAATGTTGTTCCACTTCATCTTAATGTTGCTCCAGTTCTTCTGAAAGTTACTCCAGTTCTTCTGGATCTTGCTCCAGTTCATTTGAAAGTTACTCTAGTTCATCTTAATGTTTCTCCACTTCATCTGAAAGTTTTTCCAGTTCACATGAATGTTATTGCAGTTGATTTGAAAGTTGCTCCAATTCATTTCAAATTTGCTCCAGTTCATTTGGCTGTTGTTCTAGTTCATCTGAAATTTGATTCAGTTCATCTGAATGTTGCCCCACTTGATCTTAATAACGCTTCAATTCACCCGACAGTTGCTCCAGTTCATCTGAAAGTTGCTCTAGTTCATCTGAATGTTACTCAATTTCATGTGAAAGTTGCTCCTGTTCATCTTAAATTTCCTCCAGTTCTTAGGGATGTTATTGCAATTCATTTGAAAGTTCCTCCAATTAATTTGAAAGTTGCTCCCGTTCATCTGAATGTTGCTCCAGTTCATTAGCATATTGAACCAGTTCATCTAAAAGTTACTGCAATTCATTTGGCTGTTGTTTCAGTTCATCTGATAGGTCCACCAAGTCATGAAATTTGCTCCAGTTCATCTGAAAGTTGCTTCAGTTCATCTAAAAGTTGCTCTAGATCATTTGAATTTTGCTCCAGTTTATCTGAATGTTACTCCAGTTCCTCTTAGTTTTTCCAGTTCATCTGAATGTTATTACAGTTGATATGAAAGTCGCTCCAGTTCATTTGAAAGTTGCTCCAGTTCATTTGGCTGTTGTTCCAGTTCATCTGAAAGTTGTTCCATTTCATTTGAAAGTCACTCCAGTTCATCTGAAAAATTTCTAGTTCATCTGAATGTTGTTCCACTTCATCTTAATGTTGCTCCAGTTCATCTGAAATTGCTCCAGTTCATTTTAAAGTTACTCCAGTTCATCTGAATGTTTCTCCAGTTCATCTGAATGTTTTTCCAGTTCATATGAATGTTACTACAGTTCATATGAATGTTGCTCCAATTCATTTGAATGTTGCTCCCGTTCATCTGAATGTTGCTCTAGTTCATCTGAATGTTGATCCAGTTCATCTGAATGTTGCTCCAGTTCCTCTTAAAGTTTTTCCAGTTCATCTGAAAGTTATTACAGGTGATTTGAAATTTGTTCCAATTCATTTGAAAGTTGCTCCTGTTCACTTTGCTGTTGTTCCAGTTCATCTGAAATTTGCTCCAGTTCATCTGAAAGTTGTTCCAGTTCATTTGAATGTTGTTCCAGTTCATTTGAAAGTTTCTCCAGTTCATCTGAATTTTTTTCCATTTCATCTGAATGTTGTTCCACTTCATCTTAATGTTGTTCCAGTTCATCTGAAAGTTGCTCCAGTTCATTTGGATCTTGCTCCAGTTCATTTGAAAGTTACTCCAGTTCATCTGAATGTTTCTCCACTTCATCTGAAAGTTTTTCCACTTCATATGTATGTTACTACAGTTCATTTGAAAGTTACTCCAATTCATTTGAAAGTTGCTTCAGTTCATCTGAAAGTTGCTCTAGTTCATATGAATGTTGCCCCAGTTCCTCTTCAAGTTTTTCCATTTCATCTGAATGTTATTACAGTTGATTTGAAAGTTGCTCCAATTCATTTGAAATTTGCGCCAGTTCATTTGGCTGTTGTTCCAGTTCATCTGATATTTGCTCCAGTTCATCTGAATGTTGCCCCACTTGATCTTAATGTTACTCCAATTCATCTGAAAGTTGCTCCCGTTCATCCGAACTTGTTCTAGTTAATTTGGATGTTGTTCCAGTTCATTTGAAAGTCACTCCAGTTCATCTGAAATTTTTTCCAATTCATCTGAATGTTGATCGACTTCATCTTAATGTTGCTCCAGTTCATCTGAAAGTTGCTCCATTCATTTTGGATCTTGCTCCATTTCATTTGAAAGTTGCTCCAATTCATTTGAAAGTTGCTCCAGTTCATCTGAATGTTGATCCAGTTCCTCTTGAAGTTTTTCTCGTTAGTCTGAATGTTATTACAGTTGATGTGAAAGTTGCTCCATTACATTTGAAGTTTGCTCCAATTCATTTGGCTGTTTTTCCAGTTCATCTGAAATTTGCTTCAGGTCATCTGAATGTTGCCCCACTTGATCTTAATGTTACTCCAATTCATCTGAAAGTTGCTCTAGTTCATCTGAAAGTTGTTCCAGTTCATTTGAATGTTGTTCCAGTTCATCTGACCGTTTCTCCAGTTCATCTGAAAGTTTTTCCAGTTCATATGAATGTCCAAACTCAAATTTAGGCTCTAGTGAAATGTTTAAAGTTGTCTCATTTAACAGGGGACTAGAGAGAGTAGAAGGAAGGATGGTTTGAATTTTCTCTCTAATTGAAATAATTTTATTTATAAAGAATCTCATGAAGTCATCACTACTTATAGTTGTAGGGATACATGGTTCAACAGGAATGGGACTTTTAATTAGTCTAGTAATAGTACTAAACAGAAACCTAGGGTTATTTTTAT